GGGCCCCCCCCCCCCTCCCCATGGGGGTTGGTTGAACGGGGGGGGGGGGGGTGGGGGGGGGGGGGGGGGGGGGGTTGGGGAGGGGTGAGAAGAAGAGGATTCTTAGAGACTCCCTGTCTAACTTTTTTGGGGGGCAAAATAAATGCACGTAGCTGGACATAGAAAACAACACCATCGGTAGCCTACAGGCTACTTGTTAACAAGCTTAATGTTCTGTATTAATATTAGCTAGTCATCCTTTAGCTAACTTTACCTTTAGCTAACTAGGTAAAGTTAGCTAAAGTCATCCTTTAGCTAACTTTACCTTCATCCAGCAGCTTCACTCAACAGTCGGTTAGTTTGGGGGGAAAACTGTGAAAAGTTCTTTGTTTTTTGCTGGTTTGCTGCCGTGATTCTAACACACCTGAGCAGCGCCGATTTATGTTTTCGCATCCACCTGAATAATGTGCAGTTGCGCCACTGTCACCTCCACTGATTCTGGTTCAGATCCACTGATGAAATGTTTCCTCGTCATCTGGTCCGGTTCCTTTCTGATCACATTCTTGTTCATTATGGTCTGTTTTCTCTCCAGCTTGACGTCTGACAGGACAGAGGCGGTTCTGACCCAGGAAACGAAACCCACTTTGGACCAAATGGAACCACAGTTTCTGAAGGCCATGGAAGAACTGGAGCAACCAGAAACTGTGGAGATAAAGCTAGAACCAGAACCAGAACCTCTAAAACTGGAGGAGGAACCAGAACCAGAACCTCTGGAAATTAAACTTGAACTTTGGGAACCTGAGTTCCTGCAGATTAAGCTAAAACTGGAACCAGAACCTGTGCAGATTAAATGTGAAGTGAGGAACCAGAATCTCTTCAAATAAAGCCAGAACCAGAACAAGCAAAGCCAGAACCAGAGGAACCAGAACCTGTGAGGGTGAAGGAGGAGTGCGATGTTGTCTCCAACAGCCAGGATGAAGAGCAGACTGGTTCCTTCCTGCTGGATATTGGTTTTAAACTGGACCAGATGGAACCAGAACCAACAGGAACCCAGCTCATCTCTAGGAATCCTCCAGAACCTGAGAATGTGGATCAGTCAGGAAGCGGTGAAGAACACTCTCAAGAATTGACTCTGAGTGAGGGAAGAGCAGAACCTGGAGAACTGGACCAGAACCCCAAACAGAACCAGCAGAAAGAGGAGAAACTGTCCACCTGCCAGATCTGTGGGCGTGGCTGCATCAGTAGCTACCTGAGCATTCATCTGCGCCTCCACACCAGAGAGAAGCCCTTCTCCTGCCCCACCTGCGGGAAGCACTTCAGCTTGAAGAGTCATGTGACCCGCCACCTGAGGACCCACACAGGTGAGAAACCATTTTCCTGCCAAACCTGCGGGAAAGCCTTCAACCACCAGGGCAATCAGAAGTACCACCAGAAGACTCACGCCTACAAGCCGTCCTCATGCCAGTTCAGTGGGAAGAGCTTCAAACCCAAGACCCCCCTGAGTCACCACATGAGAACCCACAAAGATGAGAAACCCTTCAGTTGCTCCACCTGTGGGAGGAGCTTTGGCTTCAAGGGTCACCTGACTTGTCACATGGCGACCACTTGTCTGAGAAAACTTTCAGATGTTCCTTCTGTGGCAAAGGTTTCATTGTGGGGAACCACCTGGTGCTCCACATGAGGACCCACACAGGAGAGCAGGTGTGAACCTCAGCTGTCTCCTACAGGTACCCTGTCAGGTTGACATGACAACAGTTGGAGACACTCCAGGAGGAGCTCTCCTCCAGAACCTGGCGTACAGTACAGTAGCACGTACAGACAGATATTTTATTCAACTTAGTACAGAAGCTCCGATAACAAAACTGCTCACAGGACGAGGAAATTACTGTTACACACCTTCAGCTGTATATATTTAAACCTCTCCCTGAAACTTTTATTTTGAAGAAAAATCTAAATTTGTACAATGTGCTGTAAATATTCACATTGTCCAGATGGATTCCCAAAGTTCACAGACAAAACACAAATAAAGGGTCTCTCTTCCTATTGGTGGACACCAGCAGATCTGGACCGCAGTGAGCGCGTCTGATCTTTGGGTTAAAGGTTAAACTAGGATCATTTTGGATCATTTATTGTTATTATTAGTGCTAGCATCTTCATGTTATCAGGTTTCACTTGACTGAAGTCAATGGAAATAGACCTTTAGAGTGATTTTAATAATGAATATAATCTTTGGTACATAAATAAATAATTTATCATGACGATAAAACATCTCTACTGTCTCTTTAAAGGAGTGACTGAGTTTTCTGCTGCAGGTGAAAAGTTTATAACTCACTATGTTCATTATTATAAGGAAAAATGTATTGTAGGAGTCGGTTTACTACTACAACATACTTTGTATTTTTGAAATTCCAACTTCCCAGTGAGGAAAATCAACCAGACGGTCATTTAGAGGTCAAATGTTGTAAATGTTTAGGCCAACTTTGGATTTCAGTGTGACTGCTCTTTGCATCAACAGCAGGCAGCTATGCTGGACATGCCAGCTCTACGCTGAACAAATTAAATCTGGTGTTTACTGATGGAAAGTACAGCTTAAAGATTAAGTAACCTCCGTGTGAAAGCACAGCCGCACCTCCAGACAAATTTTGAAAGATTCCACAAAAGTGGGTGGAGCCAGGATACGCTGAGGGGCGTGGCCAAGTGTGAGGAAGAGTGGGGGCCAGGATGAGGGAAAGCTCTTTGTTGCTACCATTTAATGACTTTGTAGAGAATTTTTTATAAAATCAACAAATCTAGCCACTTTTTTTGTTATCGGAAATTTTAATGGCGACACTATTGATGGATGCTAGCCCTGCTGGCCACCAGTCAGAGAGATGATTTTTGACCCGAGGGTGCTGAGACATGAAGTTGTACCAGTGGAACTAAACGGCAGCAGTCCTGCCTTTAAATTGCAGCTCTCTGCTGCCACCACTTGGTGAGACTTGCTGTGTCAGAGTGACTGCGCCATTATGCGAGTCCAAGTCTCATAATGCTTCAGAAATGCTGCATTGCTGCAATATCAATGCTGCATTTCTGAAGATGGATAGTTTGATAAGCTGCTAGGCTGTTATTATCCCCCAGGGCGGAGCTAAATGATTCTGTGCAGCCAGGGGCACAACTACATATTATTCAGGTGGAAGAGAAAACATAAATCGGGCCCCCCCCCAAAAAAAAAAAAAAAAAAGAAAGGTACGTAAGGGTGATGGAGCGTAGAAAACATACGGTCGCTCTATCCGTATGAGCGATCGTATGTTTACCCCCCCAAAAGAAGACACGTGAAAGGTAAACCTCGCTACATTTACATGTGCGCGAGGTGAAGGAGTGTAAGGCGCGGTGAAGTGTATGCGAAGGCATCATCGGGGCGCCGCCCCCTCCAGACGGGGTTTTGACGCCCCCTCTGGTGCAGCGCCCCTATGCGCTGCATGCCCACTTTTTGCACCACTGTGTGCAGCTGACAGAAAAAAAGTTTAAAATTAATATTAATATATATTTTTTTACATAATCCTAACAACAATATAAATACAGGAAGAAGAAAATTGTTGAATATATTATTTTTCATGTAAATGTTTGTGGAGTTTTATTCAAGGAAATTGTGATTTGTACATCAGCTAGCAAGCCTGTTCTGAATCCATTAGCACTACCTCCATCTTCCACTAGGGGGCGTTAGTCTCTAGAGGAGAACAGAAAAGCACTGGGTATCCTGTCTGTCCTGTTGTCCAGGGGGAACAGCCAATGCTGATATTTTCATCTTTAGCCACATAAACTGTAAATATGTGGATTTCCAGCTAGAAAACGTGGATCTCTCTGTTCCCTCCACTGTTTGTCTCGCTGCTCGTATTAAACAGAAGATGTCTTTCTCTGAGACGCAGGAAGAAAACGTGTGTTTGCTGAAGAAAATTTCAGACAGTAATGTAAACAAGATAAGTGTTCACACATTTACCTTGAACCTTGGGGTACCCCACATGTGACCTTTGACCTCTCTGATGAGAAGTTTCCGATTGAAACAAAGAAATCCCTGTTCTTTATGTAAGATTCAAACCAGTTGAGCACTGGACCGGAGAGTCCGACCCAACTCTGCAGTCGATTCAGTAAAATGTCGTGGTCAACTGTGTCGAAAGCTGCACTGAGGTCCAACAGAATTAAAGCAGACTGAGGTAGAAGTTACAAAACTTCTGGCTGCTCTACTCATCTTTCTAGATGAATTTTAAATCTTATTCATGTAGATTTATATGCATTATTTAAAGTTTGTGTGTTTATTTGGTTTGTTTCTTAATCTAGTAATACAGTTTTAATAAATAACTGAGTAGAAATAAAATTCTAACGGAAACTATTTGGTTCAGATTGTTACATTTTTCCAGCCGTTTCACTCCAGTCCAGCAGGGGGCAGTAACGCGGCTCACAGCCAGTCCGCTAGCCCCGTTAGCATGGTTAGCTTGCTATGAGCGTGTCCAGGTGTGTTGTGAGTCTGCGCAGCAACAATGTGTTCCGTTGAGCCTCTGAGAGAGTTTATCAGAGAGAGACTAACTGCTGCTGCTGAAGAAATCTTCACCCAGCTGGAAAAAACCATCGTCCAGTACGAGGAGGAGATCGACCGGCAGCGGAGACTGCTGGACCTCACCTGGAGACCCCGAACCGAGCAGAACCCCGCAGGTAGGTCCGGCGGGGGCAGCGGGCTGCCTGGTAAAGCTCGGAACCAGGTTCTGTTTCATCACAGGATGGTTCTAATGGTCCCATGAGAGGTCCAGTAAACGGAACCTGAACCAGAGAACGTTCTGCTCCCCCGACAGAATCTGGACCTTTCTCACCAATCCGACCTGGTAGCTGGTACCAGGATTATGGGTTAGTAAGACCCAGTCAGAGCCGCCTCTGTTGATACCTGGGCTTTTTAGCAGAACATCAGAACCACACCGGACCGAAGCGGTCCTCCAGAACCCGACTCCGGCCCGGACAAACACCCAGCAGCGACAAATCAGGGGTGTGTTTACTGCTGGTTCTGGACGGCTCACCGGTCCGTTTCTAGAACCAGAACCACAGCAGAACTTTGGCTCCAGATATCTAAGAAATGAAATGATTTGATCCTAAAATGCAGCTAAAATCGGACTAATTCTGATGAACAGAACATGTTCTGATATTTAAGCAAAATATTAAAGATGAATTTCTAACAACAGGAAAAACAACCTGAGATCCAGAGACGTTGAGCGTTAAATTTGAATAAAACGGAAATGGTTATTAAGGTTCAAATGGCATTTGAACCTTAATAACATTTTAAAGATGTTCTGCTCAGAGTCGGTTCGTCCAGCTGTGATGTCTTATAACAGGGGAAAAAAATCCTTTTATCTCACCAGGAAATTACCATTGAGATAAAAATCTTTTTTACAAGAGAACCCGACAGAACATAAAAACTGCAATTAAGATTCATTGTTAACTCCTGTTAATAAAGTGAAGAAAAATGGCCGTATTATCAGAAATGTTATTTTTGCTGACAGATATCTTGTAAACATTATTGCTCACATTGAAACCATTAGATGGCTAAAACCATAAAACACATGGATTCCTGATTTAAAGATTAAAAACCAGTTTTTACTGTTCAGTGGAGCCCAGTCATGTCTTATTAATGCAGCCATATTAAGAAGGGCATGACTTATTAAAACAGACCAAATGTGACTGTCTGACCTCGGATGGGATTGAATTGTTTTTGTGTAATTAGTTTTTTATTATCATGATGTTGTAATCTTGTCTTCTTCGCTGGGTTCTGCAGAGGTTCTGTTAGACGCAGCGAAGCAGCATGTTCTTCTCTGATCTCTGTTTCTCCTCTAGTTCTCCTGCAGACCTCCACCTGCAGGCAGGTTCTAGATGAGATGAGCTCCGGTCTGGACCCGGCAGAACCAGAACTCCCACAGATTAAAGAAGAACAGGAGGAATCAGAGCCTGAGCTGGACAAAGATGAATATGTAGAAGTGTGCATCAGCGAGGATGAGGAAGAACTGGTGCTGAAGCAGGAGCAGGAAACGGACCCTGACGAACCAGAACCAGAGCAGAACCAGGCCTGGTTCCAAAGCTCGGCTGAAGCTGAGAAGGTGGATCAGAAAGGACGTGATGAAGAAACAGAGGAGGAACCTGACAGTGTAGGAACGTCTGCCAGTTCTGAGGCTGGGACTGGTTCCGACCCGAATAGAAAATCCTCTCAGTGTGACGTCTGTGGAAAACATTTCACTCAGAGTTACAACATGAGGGCTCATCGCCGGATCCACTCAGGCGAGCGGCCGTACTCCTGCCAGGTCTGTGGGAAGAACTTCATCAAATACGACAACATGCTGGTCCACAGCAGGACCCACACGGGTCAGAAACCTTACTCCTGTCCGACCTGCAGCAAGCGCTTCAGCCAGCGCAGCAACCTCACCTTCCACATGAGGATCCACGTTGGCGATAAGCCCTTCACCTGCAACACCTGTGGGAAGAGCTTCACCTCCAGTGGCCACCTCACCATCCACAGGAGAACCCACACAGGAGAGAGGCCTTACCTGTGCAACGTCTGTGGGAAGAGCTTCAGCCAGAGCGGCGGCCTGTCGGCCCACCGGAGGACCCACACCGGCGAGCGGCCGTTTACCTGCAAGGTGTGCGGCAAAGCCTTCATCAGGAGCGACGAGCTGCTGGTCCACATTCGGATCCATACCGGGGAGAAGCCGTACACCTGCAAGATCTGCTCCCGGAGCTTCGCCCGCAGTTGCCACCTTACCACCCACATGAGGACCCACACTGGGGAGAAGCCCTACTCCTGCCGAATGTGTGGAAAGAGCTTCAGCGAAAATCGCAGCCTGACTGCCCATGTCAGAACGCACACAGGTGAGAGGCCGTTCTCCTGTGACACCTGCCACAAGGCCTTCACAGACAAACGCAACCTGGCCGCTCACGCCAGGACCCACACGGGTGAGAAGCCCTTCTCCTGCTGTATCTGTGGGAGGAGCTTTGCAGAGAACCGGAGCCTGACAGGCCACATGGCCACACACACAGGGGAGCGGCCATTTTCCTGCAAAGTCTGCCAAAAGGGCTTCACTCAGAGTGGCAAGCTGGCAGCTCACATGAGGCAACACAGAGAAGAGAACGTTTAGGTGCACCTGCTGATTTTATTCAGAAAAAGAAGAAACTGGGAAGCATTAAGTCACTGTATTTGTAGCAGCATAAAATACCTTTAGGGAATAAATTTGGTCAGTATTAAGTCATATTTAGGGCTTCTGTCGAAATTAAAAAAAAAAATTCAAAGTCCAGTTCTGGTGTCCTGAGCAACAGAATGTAACTCTGAGCCTCCTCTCACAAAGTAACTCCTGGCTAGCTCGCCATATTTAGCGCTGGACTTGCTAGGCGGTTCGACTGCAGGGAAGACTCTCACAGAGCTGTCCTCGTTTGCACAAAGGCGTCCGTCTCAGCAGTTCTGGGTTGAACTGTTTCAACCCAGAACCGGTGGAAGTGCAAAATGATGTGTGATTGGTCAGGAGTTTGTGGATGTGTTTTATGTAGAAATGCGCTCAGACAGCAGTACTGATATTTCACTAGTTTGCTCTCTGGTTTGTGTATCCACAGGCGACATGAATACATGTGTAGCTGGGGCATTTTGTCCCCAGAAGTATGTTCGTGCACACTCCTCCTATTGCCCATATATGGAAGACGCTGTGACAGAGCTGACTCTTTATGGAGGCAGGTAATCAGCACTCAGACTTAAGAGCAGGTAGATCACTGAGGAGATCAGAGGTTTGATCCTTAACACTGGTGTTGAAAGGTTGGTTGTGTTTCTGATTCCTCCCCTTCATTTTTGAAGGCGGCATCCTTTTTAGAAGAAGTGACACACAGAGCGCCGTTGACTGATTTCACTTCTGAGGAGGTAAAAGCTGCTTATTATTGTTTGGCTACTTCAGGTGCTTGTCTAACTTTATCCCTTTTGTGTGTAGGCTACTACTGTTTCAGTTTAATTTAGTTCAAATTAGAATTATTCCTTCTTGGTAGTTACTATTGATTAAAGTTAGTGGTTTGCCGATCGCAGGGGCGCTGTATTGGGGGGGAAAGTTAGGACAATTCCAAGGGCCCCTGACCAACAGGGGCCATCCACAATTTTTTTATTATTTTTTTGATCGTAGAAATTAAAAAAGGGGGCCCTGGTAATTACAAAATTAATCATATTGTGTTTTCTAAAA